TTTTGTACCTGGAAAATAATCAGAAAAAAATTGTTTCAATGTGTTTAATACCCAAACCTGTCATGGTCCCTGGGTCTCCCTGGCTGGTTCACACAGGAGCCACATGTTTTGTTATTGTTTTGTCTCTCTCGCTCTTTCTTTCCTGCCTCTTTTCCGCCTGGGGGGAATTTGTTATGGGTTCCTGCCTTTGGCCCACGTACCTGCAATCAATGACTCACCTGCTGCTCATTAGCCTGTCTCTCTGGGCCACTACTTAAGGCGGTGGCTTGGTGCTTCTTGCCACTGAATCATTGTGCAACCTGTGTTAGTGTAACTGGCTTATCCAGCTCTTGCGTTTCATGTGATTTCCTAGCGTTGTACTAATTGTCTGTTTCCTGCACATAGATTCCTTGGACCTGTGTGGTGTGGAGTGACTGAAAAGGACCCTAGCGTGTTTGCAGCGTTTGAGTCTGGTGTGGCCTTCCTTCCTCCCCGTGGATCCCTGGAAGCCTTAGCCCCTCACATTGTATATATCACCCGGTCTTTGTAAATAAACTTTTGTGAGCTCTATTCAACTCTCAGAGTCCGTTCAATCTCTATGACAAAACCTTTTCATCTACATGCATAATAAATACATCAATACAAACCTCTTTCATCTAGTGTTAGATGTAATAGGAGTTACAGTTCTGTCATGAATGCCAGAAAAGCACAGCCTAAAGAATCGGTATAAAACATAAGCGTTGATATTATTACAGCTGAATATCAGAACCACAAGCTGTCTTAACACTGTGACAACACCCATATAATACACAATTTACATGTGATACTTTAGCATTTTGTACATGAAAAGTTTTTGTCCCTCATGGTGAAAGAAGTTTTTCAGTGTGAGGTAGTTTTCTCTTGGTAAGCTTTTGGTAAAGAGTGAAATCCTTATCTCTATATTACCTGCACCCTCCTTTTTCTCTGTGTTCCTCCCTGATGATGTTTGGGGTTTTTTAAACATCTCATATCCTTATCGTACTTCTAGTCACCACAGCAAGCCATCCAACCCACATGGTCACATCATCCTTTCTCTTTCATAGTCTTAAACTCATCATGGCTGATCCTGTGGAGGTATATGGGGGTCAGTGTGTCCTGTTTAACAGGACCATTAAAGGAACAGCTTTAAACCAGTTCTGTTGTTAATCTTATTAATATCACTGTCACAGCCTTACAACCAGTACTACATTGAATGTTTTGATGACTGAAAGCATTACAAGAAGTGTGAAAACTTTCAAAATAAAAGTTCTTCAAAACAAAAGCTGACTATCAGTGGTTGTCAATAATGCTGGATTTTATGGACTTTCAAATGACCTTTTAACATTAGTGTTTTTGCAGCCTGTTTCACAAACAGAGACTTGGTGATAGAAAAACATCAGCATATAACCCATTTACATGGGCTTGTTAAAGATTCTAGCTTATGGCTTTTGTGAACTCTTCTGTGTCTAAACAGAAGCTTAAAAGTAACAAAGCTGGTTGGTCTCTAAAATGTGAGAGTAACATATAATTCAGCAGGATGCCTGTCAATTTTTGGCCTGTTAAAGTAAAATTCCAGTCATGCTAAAAGACCCTTCAACACCAGTTTATTGCTGTATTTTATCTGGCTTTTTTCCAGCTACCTAGAATATGCCAACTGCCCTCAAATACGACCCATAGGAGAGTTTCCAAAATGAGCCTGGCAGGAGACAACAGCCTGATAATGTTACATGGTGTATAAACTGAGGTGGCTGGTGGTACCCTGGTTACCCTATTCGGCTTCACAGCCGTTGGTAATTCCCCCCCCCCCCAGACAGAACCATTCCTGCACAGGACCAGCACTTCGAGACACTTGAGTTTATTGACACCTGTGACAGAGCGGCTTTTTGCAACTGGATTTACAATGAGGAAGACCAAGACACAAGATGGTGGAAACAACAGGCTTTTATTTGCCCATATAGCTCTACAGCTGTGACAATGACTCGCGCAACAAGCTTCCTCACAGCACAACAATCACTCTGTCTAATGACAACTGGCAGCCTTAAATACTTTCTGCTGTTAGGGGCTAAACCTGTCATGGCTGGGGCAGCAGTCTTGTGGTGTGTGGGATAAAGGACTCGAATGCAGGCATTTACTGAGATGCAAGGGAGATTTATTATAAATGACAGAACACAAAGTAGGGATGGCAAAAACAGAGCTAAGGATAATCTAATCTAATCTCTGGGAAAAACTCAACTATAGAACGGCCTGAACACTAAGGGAGGACAGCAGGGAGAGCACACAGTGGATTCACAGAGAGGTTCACAAACAGTCTTCAGGAGACGAACACAGACGGACCAGTAACGAGCACACCAATTCACACAACATAAATTCACACAGAGGGACACTGGGGAATCACACACAGGTGGGAGACACAGCTGGACCTGACGAGACAGAGGAAACACTAACACCAGGGACCAACAGAGAGAGCAGCAACCCAGAACCCCAGAACCAGAAAATCCCAAAACACAAATCATCCCAAAACTAGAACATGAGTCCACAAATAATAATAATAATAA